GGCGCTGTCCTGTGCGCCTGGAGAGGAAGGGTAGGGAAGGTGCTGACATTCTTGGCCTTGTATGTGCCAGCCACCGTGTTCCATGTTTTACAGACCTCATTTGCATTTGATTTTCACATTACAGGGGTGTGGTTAAGGCCAGACTCTGTGGGGTTTAAATCCTACTCCAGCACTTGTGTAGCCATAGAGGTGCTAGGAAGTGCTCTAATCATTCAGGGTCCAAATGTCATCTATCATATGGAGATAATAACTGCCTTCTCGTGTTCTTTTGAGGGTTAAGTGAGGTGATGCATCACAGGGACCTGGCAGATGATGAGCCCAATAAATGCGAGCTATTGTCATTCCTATAAATTTTTACAGATGAGTAAAGAGCACAGATGTGCTGAGAGCTGCTCACTGGTTTCTTGCCAACTGGAGACGCTGGGATTCAAGCCATCTTTGCTGGATTCCAAGAGGAATCTCTGTCACTGCAACCTCTGGGACTGACAAAAGACTTTCCTGGGTGCCCTCAGGACATGCCTTAGACTTGATGATGAGCTCAGACCTTCTGGCATCAGGCTCTATAATCCAGCCTTTGTCTTCTGTCAGCCTCCCTTGTAACACATACCAGGCTCTTGAACCAGTCTCTCAACCCACAGCACATTGTTTTTTTTGTTTTGTTTTTACCCAATTACTTTCAGTTCAACACTAGAATTTGTTGTCTGAGGCAGTGAGATGAGGAGGGGTGCAAAAGAACTGAATTTCAGTCCTAAGGATAGCCAGCTATGTAACCTTGGATAAGAGTACCTTCCTTTTTCTGAACTCAGTTTCTTCATCCTTTTCCTGATGAGAGGATGGGCTAGATCAGTGTTTTCTAATTTCACTCACTGTAGGGCCACTGTTCTGCCTGTTTGACCTGACTGTGTACCACTTCTTTTATTATTACCTTAATGTTTTAAATTTACTTCCCTTAAAAATTTAAATCTACTTAAAAATTTTTGTTACCAATGTAAATGGAACAAAATATAGAGAGAAGGTAATAGGAAAAATAAAAACAATGGAAATAAAACAATATTCCTAGTCATCTAGTTATTCTTGCCTCCTGATGGATTTGATCCTGAAGCCTGATCTTCTTTGCTAAAATAGGTTCGCATTACGTGTTAAAGATAGTCCAGCACAAACCGAGACTTTCTTCTTGATGAAATCGGGAGTGCAAGAGTTGGAAGGGGAGTAACTCTCACTGTGTCATGTGTTTTTTAGTGCCTGTGTACCATGTAAAAACATCTCTCATATCCCTAGTGGGAGATGTCCCACACTTTGCAGAACCTAGGATCAGCTGCTGTCTAATATCCTGTCCCTTTCTAAGACTCCTTCATTCTCAATGTGCCATGAATGCCGTTCAAAACTCCCCTCAATCCTGGAGGGAGTCTTCCTGAATTCACCCTACCCAACTCTGCAGTTTCATACCAGTCTCAGCCAGCGCTTACCTCACTCAACATTTTGACTCTGGGTACTTCCTAGTGTCAGAGTCTTGCATTTTCGTATTTCTGATATGTGCACAGAGCATTTTTTAAAAATCTAATTCTCAGAGTGCTGAGTAAGGGGGCAAAAAGTGCCACAGAGGTCAGGGAACAAACATCCTTTGAGCACATACTGTGTACCGTGCCTTATGTTAGAAGCTTTCACCTTCTGAGATCTTTCTGAGGTATCTGTTATCACTCCAGTTATATGGAAAATGGAGCTTAAGCTTAAAGAGCTTAGGGCCTGCTTAGGGGGCGGGAGAACCACAATCAGACCCTGTCGTGCCATCCCAGAGCCTCTGTTCTATTCTCTGTGCCAGGTTATCTCCCAGACCAGGACACAATCGCTTGAGACAACAAACAAGTTCATCAAGGCTCCTTAATGTTTTGGGCTTCCTGGATCACTGAACATGAACACACGGGGGACTGATGTACACACAAGCGTACACAGAGTGACCAACATAGGATAAGAAACATTTCTTTTCTGGATTAGGGACATTAACAAAACAATTAACTGCCACCACTGTTTTATAAATGCAGGGATAATTTAATGTTAAAAAAGGAGGGAAGAAAGAAAAAGAAGGAAGGTCACAATAATTTCAGAATAAGACCAACTTAATGAAACTCTTACAAGATATGTCTTTTTTTCTCCCCTTATTTTGATGCTGACGAGTGAAAGCTTCGCTTCAGACTTGCAGGATTACAGATGTGTTGTTGGAAACTTCAGGAGAGAATAAGGTGTTTTAAGAGAAGTACGGTAAAAACAGTAGGTGGGTTGAGATAGCATTAAGACTGAGAAACCTGAAAAGAGGCGATGGTGGGGGCCAGGACTGAATAGGAACTGGTGTCCCCAGATCCCCATCTTCCTGTACACGCACCCCATTCTCAGGTCCAGCAAGTGTCTGCAGGGCCTGCTTTGGCCCAATTACCTGCCTTTTAGGACTTTTGATAGACTCTAAAAACCTTTCATCCATCCAGAGTGCTGATTACTTCTTAGGAGTAGATCGAAACTGTAATTTGGAGATCACCATTCAAGCTTTTTATTTTTTAAAGAACCAACTATGTGTTTATTTTAAATAAATGGCATAAGTGGAGGAAAAAAGAGATCTGAACTCAGAAAAACACATTATAATAATATATTTTCTTTCATAAAAATGTCTTGCAGTGATGATGACTACTTATCATGGTGTTTTTCCTCAAGTAATTATAGGTCCTTTTTTTCCCCCAAGAAAATAAAACTTTAAAAGCATGATCTGCCACTTAAGACTTGAGACTGTTATAGATGAGGCCCTAAAAAAAACCTACCTCCCTTAATAAGTTTGCAAATACAACACTTTACCAGAGCCCAACACAGGGAACAATGGTTGAGTCCAATGTTCATCAAACAAAGGAGATTAAAAAACTGGTAAATTCTCCCGTAAAGAGAAAAGCTGCTACAGAACAAGAAGGTGACTCAGCGTTTTATGGAGCCGCTGTGAGTGCCTCCGTTAGATTTATTACAAATTCTTGACATAAAGTCTTCACTTTCAGGAAACAAATTGAATCAATTATCTCACTTCTTCCACTTGCTCTCAGAACTCCCATCCCCATCCTCTTCCTGCCCCTTATCAATGAAAAGTGCTGGTCTCTGTGCCCCGGGACTGGCTTTCTACTGCAGCATCACCCCCTCCCCCACTTATGAATATTGCTTTGCACAACCCATGTACACAAATTTGGGAAGTAAGGAGCATGTGCTTGGATCATCACCTGAGAGCATGACCAGTGTTGGAAATTCAAGGGAATTCCCACGGGTCAGAGCGGTGCTTTCTCCATAGCCAATCACATGCAGGGAGCCAGAAGACACGTGACTTGTGCCACCGGGGTCTAAACTGAAAGTTGAATTCCCTGATCCTCTGTTATCTTCAAGTCCCTGACATAACATTGGACAGAGTCATTTTCTTTTTCTCTGGAAGAAACACTTGAAAACTATAGAAAGATGTCATTAATGAAAACCTACAATGCTTGGTGCATTAACCAAAAATTTTTCACTTCTAAATAAGAAAAAGCGAAAAAGAAGAAAACCCTGTCATTTGGAAGAACATGGATGGACCTTGAGGGCATCATGTTAAGTGACGTGAGTCAGAGAAAGACAAATACTGTATGGTCCCACTTATATGTGAAATCTAAAAAATATTGAACTCTTAGAAACAGAGAGTGGTGGCTGCCAGAGGCTGAGGGGTCGGGGAACTGGGTAGAAACTGGTCAAGGGCTACAAACTTCCAATGAGAAGATGAGTAAGTTCCAGAGATCTAACGTACAGCATGGAGCCTACAGTTAATACTACAGTATTGTAAATGGCTGTGAGAGTAGAGCTTTGCTATTCTCACCATAACAACAACAAAATGGTAATTATGTGAAGTCAAGGATGTGTTTACTAATCTTATTGTGGCAAACACTTCACAATATATACATGTATCCAATCATCACATTGTACACCTTAAACTTACACAATGTTATATATCAATTATATCTCAACAAAGCTTGGGAAAAAAAGCAATTACAGTTCTGTACCAACAATTCCCCCTGAAATAGGAAGCTACCTAAATAGAGTTGCCAGATAATAGATAGGGCATTCAGTTAAATTTGAATTTCAGGTAAATAATAGATAGCTTTTTTTTTTTTTACTATGTCCTGAATATGGTGGCATGGCTCATAGTTATGTTAAAAACTTGTTTGTTTATCTAAGATTTCAATTTAACTGGGAACTCTATACTTTTATTTGCTAAATCTGGCAACTCTATGCCCAAAACACTTCAACCAGGAAAACAAAGGCAAGCAACCTGAAGGCTTAGAGATTCAGTAGGTAAAGAAGCCAAGGGAATATTGAGGTTTTCCAACTTGATATCCAAAATAATAAAATACATACCCTTCCTGCACCAGAATTTAGCTCCCTCCTTCTGTCAACTCTCCTGTAATGGAAGAAAGAAGCCTGCCTTTGAGAAAGCAGATGGAAGAACGCTGACAATGTTGAGCACAGTGCTGTGTTTGACAGTTGCTTGCTGTGCCTGTTTGTCTGAAAACCGTTTGTGCTGGGGTTTTTAGAGAATACCTTCATCCAGCCAGGCATATTCATGACAGGAGTTGTGTTTATTTCCAGAGATCCACCAATCAGAGAACACCTCCTGTCCCCAACTAAAATATGTTTCTGATTCTCACATGTCAGCCCTCCATCCCCCAACGACGCTTCCCCTGTTTATGAAAGACATAGATCCTGACCAGATGCTTCTCCCTGGAGACATTGTCCCTAATTCCCAGGCTTCTCCTTCATCAGCCAGCCATGCAAGGAAAAAGTAGCATCCTTAGGAGAAAAAACATATTATGTTCATGAAGTCCATTACAATAGACTATAAGTGTGTACTCACCTTTTATAATGAAAAAATTTTTTAAAAATGTGTGTAGAAAAGCAAGTTTGGAAGAATATACAGCAGCATGTTAACAATAATTATCTCTGGGTAGTGAGATTTATGGATGATTTCATTTCTTCCCATTGATTTATGTCGCCTGGCTGTAACGTTAGTCCCAGCCCACTCCTCTATATTTTAAACGCTCCTGGACGTTTCTTGGGGGTGGGGGGCGCACATCAAGGACTTCAAAGCAGAGCTTCTCCACCTTTACAGCGCACAGCAATTATTTAGGGAGCTTGTGAAAATGCAGGTTCTGGGGCCCACTCCGCAGACTCTGACTTAGTCCATCTAAAGTGACGCTCCTTGAGCCTGCGTTTTAAATTCCTCCTCCTTTCACTTTAACCTCCGCAGACTGTGGGCCATACTTTGAGGAATGCAGTGCTGACTTACAGCTCCATCGGCTGTCTTCTGCAAGTCTCATATGTGTGCCATAGTGACAACTTATCTTGGCTACTAATGCCAGAAGTCAGTCACTAAAAAAAGTATATATATGTGTATATATATATATATATATAATAATTACTGTACATGTAATATACTGTATATATACAGAGGGTGCCAAAAAATGTATACACATTTTAAAAAAGGAAACAACTATTAAGAGTGTAATACTCAATATATACCGATAACAAAAGATAAATGAATACAAGTCACGTTTGATTTCTGCAATTACAAGAGGTGCTCAAAGTGGTTCCCATCAGCATCCAGACACTTCTGATTACAGCAAACTACTACTTGAGCAACGATGACCAAATTGTCCACTTGTATACATTTTTTTGGCACCCCAGTGTGTGTGTGTGTATAATTTTCAGACATAACTCAGGTCCACTTCATTTCCATTTATGAGAGGAAAGTGTTTGGGGTGAGCCTCTCCACCCCTCAGCACAGCAGCAAACTGACTCACAATGTCTGCTTGATTCTTGGGGGTGGGAGGAAGGCAGTAGACTTTCCAGCTTCGAGTTCTTTCTAATGTAGGTCTTTATTTCTTTTGTTTCCCAGGCTTTTTGGTTTTTGCACATAGTAGGTGCTCAACAAACCTTTATTCAGTGACGGAATAGATGTGCTGGCTGTTACAGTGACACCCTCCAGGGTCCGAGAAAGCCAGGTGTGCACTAGAACCTGTCACTCTGAGGGACCTCCCAGCAAAGCTGTGATAGCAAAAGTCACATTCTCATGGCTTCTGAACCCTCTGTAGGAGGGACAGCCTCCACAGTGGCTAAGGAGAAACTGGATGAACACTGGGACCCCCTTAGCTCTGCCTGCTCTCTGATTCTGGCTCACAGACCAAAGATTTAAGAGAGCAATGAGAAGTAGGCTCACAGCTGTTCTAGAATGCAACACCAGGCCTCAAAGCTTCAAAGCAGCCTTGTGTGGTGTAGGAAAGATTACAAAACTCTGGTCCCTGATAAAAACAACAACAACAAAAAAACCCCTATCTTGGCTGTGGATGATCATTTGAATAAAAATCAAATGACTTAGGATCTGTCCAGAATGAAGGATGTTTTAATACTTTGTGTGTAAAAACACTGATATTTTGCTTCTTTTTTATTAAACAGATTTTATTATTTTTCAGGATCTTGTCAGCATAATCATTTTATGGGCGGATGAAATATTCAGCCCTGCCACAGCAGGAGTTCTTCCACAGCGATTACCTTGTGGCACTTTCCCTGTAATTAGGTTTTCGCTGAGGATTTTTCCCTGGGTCTGTGTAATAAATGAAATATGACCAGAATTTAAATTTGTCAATTACAAGCAAGCGTAGTGCGTAAACACACAACAGAGCCGTGAATTCCAAACCACAGGCTGTTGCTGGGGGGCAGATGCTCTGAAAATTAAAATGGAAATAAAACTACTGACTGGGAAGTGAAAAGTGGCCCCCAAAGAAAGCAAATCTCCCCTAATGCTCATGCATGATTCTACCCAACAGTGCAAGCTCTTGATTACAAATTCTTCAGCGTGAAACTAACAAATCAAGGAAGAAGCAAACAGTGGGTTTGTGTTAAAATAATCTACACAGGGCTCTGTTCTCTTGCTCTGTGAATTCCTGAGTTTCTTGAGGCCAGATCAAAAGGGTTTGGGGCATGAGGGGCTGAGGCCCACTGCCTAATACAGTCTGCTGGTGTGGTCTCTGAGTGCCTCAAGGATAGACAGATTTGGGGACAGGGCCAGGGTCTGCTCTCTCCCAGTAGCGACTGCATTAGCTGACCTGACCTCAATAATTGCTCCTGTGGGGCCCTCTGCCGATCATTTCTTGCATAGGAGAAAATTCTAAGAAGCTGCCCTGTTGCAGACACTGGCAAATCATTTATTTCAAAAAAGCAACCACAAAACAAAGGCACACTTTTTGAATTTGCATCTATAAGAAGCCCTAGGCAAGGAAAAAGGAACTCACATTTTTTGTAAACTTACTGAGGACCATGCATTTATTCATGCAACAAATCTTCCTTGAGTGTCTCTTCCGTCGGACACCACATTTTAGGCATTTAGCGGGGAGCCAGATCTGACAGGCCTTTCTGTATCATGGGAGCCCATGGTCTAGAGGAGGACGCGGACTAGCATCCACAAGTGGCACAAATACATATTAAGTGACAGCTTAATTAGGCACTGTCCAGGATGGAGACGTGTCACGGTGGGGGCGGCTTTCAGGAAGGGCTTCCCCAAGGAAGGGACATTTGGGTTGAAATCAGGAGAGAAGAGCATTTGGGCAGAGAGAACAGCATGTTCCAGGCCCTGCATCAGGACAGCCTGGCAGATGGGAGGGCTTGAAAGAATATCCGGCCAGGCTGGAGTGCAGGGAGCCAGGGGAGGCACAGGGCAAGGGGAGGCTGAAGAAGGGGCAGGGGTTGGACCACAGAGGCTGTGCTGAGGCTTCTGGTCTCTCCTGACACCTGTGGGAAGCCACTGAGGGCTCTTAAGCAGGCGGGGGATGGGAATGATGGTGGTTGGTAGCGATCATATTGGTGGTTTGGAAAGACGCCCCTGGCTCCATGGTGGAGATCAGATTGAAGGAGGGACAACATGGACACAGGTAGTCTAGTCAGGAGTCTCATACAGTAGTCCACGTGAAAGATGGCAGCACCCTGTTTGAAATGGTGGCCAAAGAGATGAAAATGAGATTAGAAAGTAATGAGGAGGTAGAGCCAGCACAGACGTGGTGATGGGCGATGATGCTTGGTAATGGAGAGGGTGTTAAGCGTGGCCTACGCCACCTCACTGAATTGTCAGAGGCTTGCAAGGTAGCGTTATCACCACTTGACACATAAGGAAACTGAGGCTCAGCGAGACTTGTGTTGAGCTTGAGATCATTCAGCTGGGAAGCGGCCAGGCCACACGCCTACTAATCCCCCATAGTGTCTCTGAGGTCACATGGGGCATTTCCTTAGAAACTTATCTCCCCCACATCTGCTCAGTGTATCTCCTACATTCTTGAGACCACCCCAAAATGTTTGCTCTGTTTATTTCCTTGCCTTTCTTTCCTGCTGGACTGTGAGTTTGTTGAGGCCTGGGCCTTATTTGCCTCTGTGTTGTCAGTACTTAGTCCAGTGTCTGGCTCAGAGTGGGAACCAGAGAACGTTTGTTGAGGACGAAACTTTCAACAGTCTTCTACTGCAGGGAGCCAGTTGGAGGGCAAATGTGTTTTAAACAACCATCTCACCAGCCTAATTCTGTCTTACACCAGGACCACAGTTGGGGGATTTTTGCTGGAATGCTCAAAAAGGACTTTCAAGAAAGGTCTAGAAGTTTCTAGTAGCCTCATATGGTGAAAAGAGCACAGGCTTTGGAATCATGTGGCTCTGGTTTTAAATCCTAGCTCCTCAGTTTATAAGCTGCACATCCTAGAGTCACTTATCCTCTCTGAGTAGTCAGTGTCCTCATGTGTAAAATGAAGCCAATTTAAGTGTTTATTTAATGGGGCAGTTGTGACGTTGCATCTGATTATCTGTGCAAAGGACTTATAGCACATTAATATCTACATTCCCTGTTTTCGTAGATAAGAAGGGTCAAAGATTCGTGGACAGCCAAGAAAGTGGATGGGGCTGGGAATTTCCCTCCACTTGGCCTCAAAGTTCCTGTCACTCACTGAGTCCTCTTCCTGTGGTTTATTCTGGAATGAGGAAAGAGGGAGCTGGCTCTCTCTGGGGGCCTCTGACAAGCTGACAGATATTCCCTAAGGCAGCTTTCAACAGAGAGCCTATTATTATTATTATTATTATTATTATTATTATTATTATTCTTTGTGATTTAGAGTGTGCACCTCCAAGCCTCTGGAAACGATGATCCTCGAGTAGGAATGGGATTAATAAATTGAGTCTGGTTCCTGTTAATTCATGGCTCTGACAAAATTAAAGATGGAGATAGGTTGGACTTAGAGCCTAAGCAAAGTATCCCAAAGCCTGGGTTCTGGGGCACACAGGACTGTGGGGAAAACACCAAGCAGTCTGAACTGCAGCTCAGCCAGACAGATGTACAGATGGAGCAGAGGCGCTTGAGGACACTTATGGAAGCAACAGGACCGTCCAGTCCAAACCTGGACTTTGACTTAAGGAACCGAGGACTCTGGAATTGTAGGTGCATGGGTTCAAATCCTGACT